ATTCTCGAAGCACCTCGGCTGGCGTTCATTTGTATAAAGTGTTTCAACAACAGAAGAGGTAGCAAACATCCCTGCCGGTTGTCATGGCTACTCCTGAGAAAACCTGAACATGCAAAACTCAATTATCTTCTCTACACACTCAAAACACCCAAACTTTCTCACCCTTTTCCCTATTCCACCCTTGATTTGGTTTCTTAAAAAAAAAATGTATAGGAGGCTAATTGATTCAGCACAGCTTGCTCAGAAGTGAACACAGGGAGAAAAAAATATCTTACTTATTTATTTTACCAGATTGTGAACAGAAGACTCTGTTCCACGAGGTCTCCCATGGGGCAAGGTGATGAACTAATCATGTCGAGATCCACTAGGTCATAGACAATAATTAAGACACTTGGTACAGGGGTCTGTGTGGAGCAATCCTGCAGCAAGTCAGAATGGATTTTACATAAATTCAAGAAAAGGTCCTTTAGAAGCTTAATTTAAAATCTGCATCTTAGCTAATTAAGAACCGTATGGCTCAAACCAATGCACCACTTCACACCTAGTGTGATAATGTACCATCCTGAATGCAGACAGAGCGAAAAACCTTACTCCCCCCCCCCCCCGTTTTTAGCTCTTCCCATATCTAAGATGTTTGCTGGAGAAGAAACACAGACACATTTTTCAGCTTTGTGGTCAGTGTGACAAAGGAAAGCACCACATGGTTTACATAAACTCAGTACCACTGATCTGACCTCTTCACATCATGAGACCAGTTTAAAATGCCACAGGAAAAAAGTTCTTTCCAGAAAAATGATTCTCCCCCAAAGTGTGGTGCTGGTGGGCATCAGGAGAGCTGGACAGAGATGCTGAGGTATCTCAGCAGATATTGTTTTCATGTATATAATGCAGGTTACGCCCCACATCTGTCAAGTACAGTTTCTGTGTGTGTGTGTGTGTGTCTGACTGAAAGCAAAATACCAGCTCCAGTACTTCCCACCACCAGGACTTGAGCTCAGGACCTGATGCACCTTGTTATGGTGCAAGCTCGCTTAGCCCTATTTTATAAACAGAAATTCTGAAACACCAAGAAATAAGAAGGTTCTACAATTTTAAACAGACTTGAGTGTCTGTTGCTGTCTGTTTATCTCATCAGATAAAAATAATCCAGGCCAAACACGAGCTTCGAAAATCATGCAGAACAGCTCTGAAGACGTGTGATTTAAAAGTTCTGGGATTCTGAGCCTTGCTTTTATTTCAAAAATTGCAAAACTGTCTTTACATTCTGAATATTTTGAATTATTTCTGCACATACGTTACATGAGCTGCATCTCAATTTAGTTGCTAAACTACAGCTGCTTTAAAAAAATTCATCTCTTTAATAGACTTATGAGAACGAAGTGTTTAGGGCTAGTTTTCCTTCACCTAGACTTGCACACGTGATTTCAAAGAGAGACACAGTATTGCTGGATGTGGCAGCTTTGCTCTAAAATACTGCTTTCCTGTAATTATCGCCCTAAAGCACAGCTTAATTAAGACCTAAATACACAACTTTAATTCAAGTGCAACTGAATCCAGGGAAGAGAAGCAACTCAAAATTTAAAAGGAAGAATGAAATTAAGAAGCACTACATACTAACCATATAGTAATCATTTCAGCTAAATATCATATTCATTGTCAACAGATTCATTTTTAATTTATGTATATGCTTCTAAATGACATAAAGGAGATATTTACAGCATCCCAATAACAAAAAAAAAGGAACAGACATAATTCAACTGAAAATAATGTGACAATTGTGATTGATATTTTAATAACATCTAAACAGGAACTATAAAATATTTTATAAAATCATAATTTCTATATAATGTTCATAAAATCTTAAAATTATTAAAAGCTCAATATTTACTTCAGTAACTATGATTCCAATTCTGCAGAGCCCATCCAATAAAATAAACCTTTAAATTATTCTGCTATTGTAACTTCGTTTTTTTTTTTTTCCCCTCTTCTTTGGTTCTATGAGGGTCTAAAAGAAGCCCTTTAGATGAACAATTTAGGAATTTTTATTTCATATTTCCTGTATCATATTTTTCCAGGACAAATATTGAATGTTACGGGAATTATTACAAATGCTGATTTTAATGTGAAAACACTATAAATACAAATGATCATTCTGTAATCGTATAAAAGGCTTAAGAAAAACATGCAAAATATTAAACATCACGACAACTAATGCACAGTTCCTACCAATGTTTTCTCTGTTACCTCCTTTTAATTTACCTCAGAAGACAGTATTACTGTTGATGCTGAATGTTAGACAAATTATTAGTGATGAGTTCTGATAACACAGAAATCAAGGGGGTTTAAAAGTATTAGCATTTCTATGATTTTGAGTTGCTATAAATTAAAGTATTTTCCTGCAACCCACTGCAAATTAAACTATTTCAAACTGTGAAAGTTCCCCACTCCTGTGACCATGCTTAGAAGCAGAAGTGCCCCGTCACACATCACTGCTCAAACCACCGTCTGTCCTCTGGGCACGTGACTGGTCTGGAACCGCTTCAGTGCTGACCGCTGTCAGTGCTTCCATCAGCATGTCACTCTGACCCTGAGCATTTTACAATTTGGTGACAAATACAGCAAAAGATAGTTTTTGAAGAACATTTAGCAATTAACCACGAAACTATCCCTTTAAGATAAATTACTAAATTTAAAATGACACATTATCCAATAGTCAAGTTCTATGCTTCAATTGGAAACTTAGGTATCAAGCTGACGTGCTGACTTTGACATGTGGATACATTAGCAAAATATTACATCACAATATCAAGCAGGCTTAATTCATTATCACAAGTCACTTGTTACTTAATCAAGTGCATATGTATACGTATGTAAGTATGACTTAATTCTTACTTATCCAATACCTGTATAATGATGCCAACAGGCCCTAATTTTCTTTCCAATAAGACTTAATCATGGAATAAAACCAATAAAAGCTTATCTTTTCCTCTTTTACAATGAAGTCCAACAGTAAGTGATAATTCATTTCTGCCCTGTCAACTTTATTTCGTGTTTATAAGAAACATTCATTTTAAAAGCATTACTTAGGTTAAAAACAACCTGAAGTATGCAGCTGACATTCATTTTGTGGCATGTGCTGCCTTTTGGTTATTAAAAGCTGCTCCCTAGGGCTGGGAAGCTGGGATGCCACAAGATTCCCATCAGTCTCAGTCACTTACTCTACAAGGTACGAAACTTTGAGAAACAGCTTCTTCTCTTGCTGCCCCGTGCCTTTCCAACCCACTAACTTATCACCTGATACTAAGTACCATTCGCACCGCAAGACAACCAGAAACAAGGAAACCATTTCAGAGATGATAATAACAAGTCAGAGAGCTGGTTTGCCAAATTTTATTTTGTTATGCCATTGCACAAACAGATTTCTCATGAAGGGTCAAAATCAATAGAGCTGGTGTGAAAGTTGTAACTAGCTCACTAATAAGATTAATTAGTGTTTTATGTTAGCTATACCAGCAAATAATTCAGATGGCTGTTGTTAATTGAACTGGTGAAATTCAAGGAAAAATCATTTTGTTTCTGTCATTTTATCAATATTGGAATGGAAATTTTAATAATAGTAGTTAATAATGAACTGCTAATGTTAATAAAATCTCATTATTTTCTCTTAAGGGTTGGAGAAGTAAATGATCTATATAGGAAACAAATAGTTTCACATCCAAAGTACCTAGCTCCTTCTTTTTTTTCTTTTTTATTGGAATGACAAAACAGAATGTACTTCAAAGTTCCACCTCTATTAGAAAGGCTGATAGAGATAAACAATGAAATGGAAACAACTCAGCATTTTTCCCCAAAATTCCAATCCATCAAAAACCCATGAGCAACTAGTTATCTTTAAAGTGTAAAGACTGGTAATCATTACTTGTCATAATGAAAAAGCAGATTCCTTTTCAGTGTTTCTCAAGGACCCACTCACTGTAGGAAAAGAAATTAAACTTTGTTAAGCAAAAGAACAAATATTTAATTGTCATTAACATTTATCACTGTTGCCCACAAACGGACCACTTCAGCACCTTCTATGTTTGTCATGGGCGATGACCCTTGAAATTAAGATTATTAATATTCCAAAGCGGTGCACAGGACTAGCTGGAAAAGTGTTCTATCAATATCATGAGGAAGGCTGCATTCTGCTATTAAAAGTTGAATCACAGAAGCTATTTTATTTATCAGTAAACAAGGAGATCAACAATATAGAATTTCATCAATGTTTTGTAAAGGACATTTTGCCTTATTGCTAAGAAAGTTATTTTGATCCACGTTAAGCCATGAGCAATGCACGCACTAATGGACTGCTTGCTAAGTGTAAAAACAAAAAAACCCCAAAAAACCCACTACACGGTGAAAAGCTTTTAGCAAGCAGCAAGCTGTTATCACCAGACTGGGAGCCTGAACCACCTCCTTAGTGACTGCCTGAAGACGCCACACAGCACCTTGGCAACAGGGAGGGAGAAACACACTTCATATCTCCACAGGGCAAAAAGCAGTCCCAAGCAAAAACTACAACCAAAAATAAAGTAAACTGTAACTTGTTTTTTTTGAGAACCATTCCCCAAGTTTAACTATTTAATTCACCCAGTTCGCTTTAACACAGACCACCCGCCAAACTCCATGAGAAGCCCAAACCCCCCGAGGCTGAACTTGCACCAAACCCACTCGCACATGCTTTCATCCACCTCAAGCCAAGATCAGCCTGAAGAAGAATGCTGACAGCTCACTCCCTCCTCTGGAACGCTCACTCTTCTTCCCTAGTTTATTTCGCATGTCACCCCGTCGCCGGCTGCGATCACAAAGCGGCTACCTGCTCACACCCCGGTCTCTAAGGCTGGTAACACCAGCTCTGCAAAGACCCAGGAGGAACCCCAAGGCTGCCCCTGCCCCTGCTCGCCGTGTGGGCAGCTGCACGCCGACCATCCTCCGGGCATCCTCCTCCGCACGGTACTTACCTGCTGCTCCCCGGGCTCCGCAGACTTCACCAGGTGCTTCTCCTTGTACAGAGACCAGAGACCGACATTGGGCAGGAAAATTAAAGCCACCATGAACAACAGAGTCATCTGCAGAAACCTCTTCTGTTTTCTCTTCATTGCAAATGGTAACAGAGAAGGAAAGTTACAGGAGGTGGTTCCCTGGCCGCGTCTGGAATTTAACGCCAGGGTCCTTTCCTCTTCCCTGCGAAGCACCAGAAACTGAGGGGAAGCTAGAAACTTTTGTTGCGTGCTCAGCACCAATCTGCACGATTCAGAGGGACTTGGGCATCTGCAGAACAAACGCATAGTTACTTTCCCCCCAGAACACTGTGACGAAGGCGTTATCTATTGGCTCAGAAGTAAATGACTTGACGGAGGAAATCGTTAAGCCCATCGACCTCCATTAAAAAAGCAACGGAGTAAATATGATCGTTTCATAGACTAGTCGTAAGTTATGAAAAAGTCAATCGCATGCTGGATACGGAAGACGACGGGAGTCCGCTGCTCCCCCCTCGGCGCGGGAGGGCGCGGCGGGGCGGGGGAGCAGGTCTGCGTGGGACGTGGCGCAGCCCCGGCAAGTGTCTGGGGGAAGTGTCCGCTTCTGACCCTGGAACGTCACCTTGCTGGTCTTCCCTGAAGGTCTCCTTCTGTGCTCCCCCCGGGAGAACCCACCTGAACCCGAGTTCAAGTCCCTCCGCGGCCAGCGCGCCCGCGGGCTCCCGGGGGTCCAGCGACTCGGGGTCCGAGGCAGAAGTGCCGTGTGGAGAGAGGGCCACAAACTCCTGGATGCTCACGCGCGGCGCAGACCCTCGTCCGCAGGCAGCGGTTCGGCGACCCGGGGACCCGGGGACACGAGGCTCCGGAGGTCGGCGGAGTCCAGCC